GGTTGAGTTCTTGAAGCCTGTTACCATAACGCTGCCAGTTTCGTTGGGAGACACGCACCATGACTTTCCTGATCTAACGGCATGCCGGGTAAGAATATTGTTTCTGAGTTCTGATGGTGAACAGAAGGAATGGAAGGAAATCACCGACGATTTGAAGAACCCAGTGACGTTTGACGGCATGACTGTTAAATTTCAGGTGGAACGCTTCTCTGGGTATGTTTGTTTATTAATTGCACCAAATGTGGCCGGTTTGCAAATCGTCATTTGCATGTCCCCTAATGGGAGTATTACTGGACGTAGTAATCAAGGAGATAAATTGCTTTTTCTTGTAAATAATTGGAATGTGGTAACCTCGGAACTTTTTCACAAAGAAGACCGCATTTTTCGATCATTTTTTCCGTCTAAATTTAGAAAATATCGAAGTGAAGATGATTTATTAAGCGAGCACTCGTGTGGACATAATAACTGATAGAGGATGGGAGTTTTAGTATGTATATGAAAGAGTTATTACGTATGAATAAGTTACTGGAGCTTCGAACTGAGCCAAGGGATCTGCACTTTTCCCCCTCGAATGTAAAGACTGGTAAACGATAGACAAAGCTGGACAAAACTCTTAGCATCAGATCTTCTTTATAAAAGGAAACCCTATCTCGAGTATTACCATCGTGATACTGTCTTTTGCACCTTTCATATCATTCTCCAAACAAAAAAAAAGGCACTCTCGTCTTAACTCAAATTTCTTATCTTCTGTTTCTTGGGGAGACGTTGCTGAAATCCCAAACAACGGCTGCCAAGGAGAGGAATGTACTTGCAGATCCGATCTGGCGCTAAGATTGCAGTTTACATACAGTTCTTTGACTTTTATTAGGTATTCGTGTCTTATTGACTGGTGTGCAGATAGCTTCAGTTATCAAAGCGTTATCGGATATCTATCGAGCCTTATTCGGATCCAACCTCAGCTGGCAGTGTTCTTCGCCTACTTCCCTGTGGAAGACCGCCCTGATTCTCAAGACATCTTGTACCTAATTTGCTGCCCATCTCAACTTAAAGAAAAGGTGCGGGCTGAAATTACGAATCAAGCTAATGCGCCTACTCCGAGCGATTCAAGCTCCCGCATCAATATGATTCCTGGGCGTGATAGGGCTTACGTCTCCCTCATAGGAGGGATCAGAGCGATTGAGGAAGATGACATGGATGAATTTTATCTCCAGTAAGTTTTTAGAAACGCTTCACCGAGAAAACCCTCAGCATGCTATTAACCTGAAGTTTTAAACCAGTAGGTTTCTTTTAAATAATGCCAAGAGAGCCGGAAAAGTAGGGGATTTTTTTTAGTCAAATTCAAAATAGCAATCAGCAGAGAATTAAGTTGAGTTGTTATTGATAGAATTTAACTCAAACTTTGACTTCATAACTTCACTTTTTTTTCTGATATAAATTGCAGGCGCTGTAGAGCCCAGAAAATTACTAAATTCTAGTTCAGATTATCGCTGTGCACTCGCTCCCCACTCCCCGTTTCCAGTGCCTCGTTCAACGTTTGGGTAACACCCGTCCTATTTTCTCAGTAGAAAAATGGCAAAGATTCTTGTTGATAAATACATCCTTTTTCGTGCTGATAAGAATTATTTTTAACAGGTTTATGAGTGATGACCTCCATAAAGCTCAAGTTCCAATCCGTGTCATTGATGACAAAGGACTTTCAGGGGTGAAGTTTTTCAAAACAC